TAGAGCGCACGTGATGGAGGTTATTCTAGAAACATGCACATTGCGCACAGAAATTATAGTATCTTGTTTTTCATATTATTCAGGACACAACTAGGTTAACGTTTATAAGTATGTAATAATGATTATGCAAATTTGACTGCTTCTCATCTTGAAAATATTGGTTTTGATCAAGTGATAAAAGGTGCTCTCTGAGGGTCAGAAATGGACTTAGTTAATTTAAACACCATGACTCTATCATAGAAAATGAATAAATATTTCATTTGATCTCAAATACAGATATCATAAATCAATTAACATCTTATATCAAAGTAAATGAAATAAGTAAGTCGTAATAATAAAAATATGTAATATGACCTTTTGTTTGTTACTCTCGACCCTTTACTGGACAGTATACCTCTTATTTTGTTACAGTAATGTCGCAGTGTCTCCGCTAACGGAGATACAGGTAATTAATCATATTAAAAGTCATTATTATGTGTCTGATTGTGATATTTGCTTCTAAATATGACTTCGTGTGACAGGTCATGTATGCGCAGTAGAAGATTCCCACCCTGACAAAGATTTTAGACATACTTTGTTTGAAGTTCTTGCGATTCTTTCTCCTGAATGTCATGTTTGTTTGTAACTAAACTGACGAATTTAAAAAAGAGTAGGCGCTATGCACTTGGCGCTATGCACTTGGCGCCTTGAAAATGTGAGTCAAGATTTTAAAGAAAATGAGTGATTGAAATCTGTTCTTGTTTAATTAATTTATCAAATGTTATTGATGTTACTATTTCTTGCATTATCAGATACCGGTAATTCAAACTATCAGCTGTTTCTATTTCTTGCAGTATCAGAGAGCGGTAATTCAAACTATCAGCTGATATTTAATCCAACATCTATGTCCTGGATTGGTGCTGCCACCTGGTGTCAAATGAAGGGTGGAGAAATTGTTACAATTGATTCTAAATCTGTTGTGTCAATGATAGACTGGTATAAAAATAATGACTGGTCTTCACACTGGTACTTATATAATAGTAATCATTTAAGATTTAAGCATAAGTTAAACAGAGGTTATTATTAACAATGAATAATTACATTTCCGTTACCAAATATAATTAGATAAAATAAATAATAAACAGTAAACGATTTTTTTTCTAAAAATGAGTTTCAAAACATCTCTTTTTTCCCCTTCTTATTATTAAAATAAAAAAACTTTCGTACAAATCAATCTCAAACACAATTGAATACAGTTTAAAAAAACATTATTTCTCTACGAATAATGTATTTTTATCAAATGTAAAATTCTCATTTACTTATTTTCATAAACATTGAGACAATGTTACATGTAAGTTTTAATGATTTTCTTATTTTTCATGTTAGGAGTGCACACGTTTGGACAGGGTTGTATGCATTTGGAATTGATTCTGGTCTCTGGCAGGGTACATGTACTTCGCTGGACTTCTTATTTATATCATCGCCTGAGACTTACAGCTCTAGCGCCCCATGCATGTACATGAACAAAGACGATTTATATTGGCATTATGACGATTGCTCAAGTAAACATTATGTTGTTTGTCAAGTACAAAACGGTATGTCAAGATTTAATTATGTGTTTTTGTTTAAGTAGAAAGTGTACCTTATAAAAAGGATGATAAATTAATACATGTAATTATACCTATATTTTGCTATTCCATTTGATGCTTAAAAAACAGTAAAAATCGAGACATTTTTTTGCGATTTAAAATGTTCATCGTTGGAGGAATTGGGTAATATAAATATATGGAGATGTGGTATGATTGCCAATGTGACAACTATCCACCAGATTTCAAATGAAGGGGATGTAAGCAAATATAGGCAACCGTACGTCCTTCAACTATGAAGCTTTTTATCTGAATGAAAATATTTTGTTCGTAATAAATGAGATTTCGTCTTTATGTCGATAACGCAGATAGGGTTTTTACCACCAGAAATCCACCAAATATGCACTATTAATATGGGATTGAAATTTGTAAATAGATATGCCTATTTGTTCGGTTTGATTACATGTTCTGCACAAGTAAGAGAAAAGATGGAATAGCTCGGAGTAAGAATAGTGTGTATGGGTATGCTGGCATGTCTTTCTGCGGCCTATACCTTTGTGAACCAGTACGACGCTTACAATTCGACTGACTATTGTGTCTTTTTGCCAATGGACGTTAAACACCAATATATCATATAAATATATCGATCATTGATATCGACATATATCGATCATTGAAATCGACATATATCGATCATTGATATCGACATATATCGATCATTGATATCGATGTGATGTTGTTTAAGCACTATGGCAAATTAAACATGAAGGATATTCCATAAACAAATGTAGTATATATTTTATTTACTTTTATTTTTGTGATGGGAGAGAGGGTGTAGTGGTTTTTTTTGTAAGTAAATATGTAAGTCTTTTCTGTTTTAAGGTGTGTGTGAATATGATGATCAAAATATGGCAATCGACAAATCACTTAGTTCATTATCTTCTGTACCGGCATCAACATTAGATAAATGCAAAACAGAATGTCAGAATTATATAAATGAGGAAGAACAATGTTGGGCTATCAAATACCAAAACAGTGCAAATAAATGTTACATGTATGTGTCTGTTAATCCACAGGACTATTTTTCATCAACTTCTAACAAAAATAAAAACATATTTTATTCTACTCGAGAGTGTTTTTCTTGTAAGTATCTTACAATATAGTAATATAGCTATTAATTTATAAATTACATTCATTGTAAAAATAAGGAGATGATGTATGATTGCCAATGAGACAACTATCCACCAAAGTTCAAATAAAGTGGATGTAAGCAATTACAGCCAACCGTACGGCCTTCGACAATGAGAAAAACCCATACCGTATTGGTTAGTTTTAATTGACAATATATCGTTGTTGTTTTACAGATCTAAAGGCAAACTGTATAGTGCTTTGATTGATCAGTCTATTTTTCTAATTTAGAATTCGTGATACTGTAAAAAAAAACACAAAAAAAACAACAACAACAACAACAACGACAATAAAAACCCAACAAAAACACGTTGTTTATGCACGTATTAGCAAGGCACTTGTCCGGGTTTGTCTTTCTGTGTTGGTCCGTTTTTGTTTTGTCAGCTCTACAACATTTTTATTAGGCTTTTGCTTTGATCATCATTGAAGAGACATTGGTTGTAGAATCTGGTGCAGTAAATTTGGTATGTTAATGTTATTATTAATATTATTTGAAAATTCACATACAAATCAATGAAAATTGTTTTTATCTTGAATCTCATTCGTTCTACTGATACACAGTTGATAATAATCATCATTTATCGCTTATACAGTTAAGTCCGCTTAAATATATCTTGACTTACATATATAAATTGACAATACAAGTTTATTCACAACTAAGCGTTGCGAAAAAGGAGATGATTTCAAATTTACCCATTTCCATGAAGCAGTAAAAAGTAAAATAACAAAAATACCAAACTCAAGGGAAATTCAAAGCGGAAAGTCCCTCAACAAATGGCAAAATCAAAAGCTCAAACGAATGGAAATCAACTGTCATATTCTTGACTTGGTACTTGGTATCTAGCAACTTAAACTTATTCTCCCAGTTGACAAGATATTACAGGCTAGCGTTTCTTTTCATGATTTCCTTGATAGAAAGTTGCTGCTTACAAGAAAGTCATTGAATCTTGGTTTCCTTGTAATATTTTTCAAGTCATCATTTCGAAAGATTTACAGACGCCATCATAATTTGGTTGACAGTTCCGGAAACCCGTCATCTTTTTGATTGTGACAGCAACGAATGCGTCTTACATGTATCACCAAATTATCACATACTATGAGTAACACACAGCGGAATTATAAGTAACAAACATTATGAGTAATACACATTATGAATAACACATAGCTAGAGGATGAATTTCTTACCATTCCGGAATTTAACCCCGGGTTTTTGTGAGGTTCGTTTTGTTCAGTTTTACTTACCGCATACTATTTTGGGGACTGCTTTTGTCTTTTCGTCGTTTTCAGTATTGACCATAATGTTTGAGTTCATTTGACCTGTGGTTTTTGATTCCCCCATTGGTATCCCCTCGATCGCTCTTTTACGTTCATGCATGTATATGAGTGAACGAAACAGTAAGTCTTCTAATTAAAGCCTTTATTGGTTTTTAATTATAACGAAAAGATTTATTCTACCAACGTTTTGAGTGAAACAAAAATCCTTATATCTTTATCTTGTTTGATATCATTGTGATTTACATGAATTAAACGTTCCTTTTCTCAGGGACGTAATATATAATATGAAAACTTAAGAAAAAGCTTTTACACGTTGTTATCTCTTCCAGCCTCTATTGTGATAGAAAATGAACCATCTATGACAACAGATATAGGCACAATTGTTGAGTCGTGCTTACCAACGACAACATCTACGTTAGAATCAACAAATGTACCTGTAACATCTACTGTGTCAACCCAAAGAGAACAACTGACAACATATCTTACACCAGAAAAAATTAAATACTCTACCGCTGTTTCAACCATCCCATTATTGACAACTATCATATTAGGAGAAACAACTTCCATTATAACCGACTCATCCACAACAACATTTGATGACACGACGCCTATTACAAATAACAAAGTAACAACAACGTTAAAAACAGACGAAACAACAACACTGTCAACCGAAGGAGCAACAACATTAACAGCGAAAGAAACAACAACATTAATAAAAGAAGAAATAACAACATTGACAACGGAAGAAACAACAACATTAATAAAAGAAGAAACTACAACATTAACAATAAACAAAACAACATTAACGATAGATACAACAACATCAACAACGGACAAAACAACAACATTAACTACGGAAGAAACAACAACATTTAACACGGAAGTAACAACATCTTTACCAACAGAAGAAACATCGACACTAACAACGGAAGAAACATCAGCATTATCAACAGAAGAAACAACAACATTCAAAACGGAAGTTACAAGAACATTACCAACGGACAAAACAACATCATCAACAAAAGCAGAAACACCAACCAAACCATCAATAAATTATTCAAAAGAAACATCAATCATTCCATCAAACCAGGTTACAACAGTATCACAAGGATATACCATGTCTGGAAGTTCTTCGGCCTACTGGAAGTTTCCAACATATCTCGAATCAGTAACAGCAGATAAAACAGAAATGACAACTGGTTATGTTACCATCTTAACAACATTATTTACAAATACAACACTCAATCGTTTTAATCAAAGTCCAGTTGATGTTTGTAGCTATGACTGTCCATGCATTTTTGGAAATGGAACTGTTACTATAGAAACGTTAGATGCTAGAATAGAACAATTAAAGACTGTCTTACAAATTGATAAAAAGGAGACAAGTTCCTACGTTCGTAAACTTACTTGTGCAAAAGACAGTCGCCCTAGTGCTAAAAATATAGGTTATATTGGAATTCTGATTTTAGTTATTGTGTTTGGATCCATAATAATGAGCGATTTAATCAGCCTGGTTCGATTCATGCAGCGAACTTTGTTTAAGAAAAACAATGATCGAAGTATCCAAGAAAGGTAAGTAAACAAACTTTATTTATATGTGGCAATGAAAGGATACTGAGATGTTTCGAATAACATGCATTCGAATAACAATCACTTTGTATTACCTGTAAGAAATAAGTATGGTTTAGAATAGTGAAAAATGAAAGGCTTTGTACGTTGTAGAGTTTTTTTTTAATCGTTATATATTTTACCATCGTATACGGCCAGATATTTTCTTGACAGTTGTTTGACAACTGGAAATTCGAAATTGCCACCGATCTAATTAAACTATCCTCTTTTCAACAGATTTTTACAGTCCTACTGATATGTCACTATCTCAGGCTATGGTATTGAGCGATGACTACAAAAAATCAGAAATTAAGCGCACATTTGATTATTACGATTGTTTAACCATGTACAATAATGGGAGATAAATTATATTGCTTCAATTTAAGGAAATGCAGCATACAAATAATGCTTTCAAATTTTTAAAAGAGGATTTTTATTTCTTCGACACCTAATCCTCCAATTTTCGCAAAATGAAACTGAAAAAAAAATTCTGAATCAACCGTTACTTGTTTAACGCAGTCAGGTTGTCGCTAGCTGTGTTTCATAGTTTTTTGTTATCTTTTATTCATTTCGGTCAAATAAGGCCTTTTTTTATTTTGTCTTCGCCAGGCCCTTTAAAGCTTCCTATACAGAATGGGTTTCTAATTCTCATTATTTGAGTTCTAATGGTAATTGTAAACATCCTTGACTTTTGGTTCTATGTTGACAGTTGTATCCTTGCCAACCATATGACAACTTTTTCTATATACCTGCATATTGAAAGAAATCTTTAGGTGTTTGAATTACAATCAACAACAGATGTATTACTGCCATTATATACTCGTTAGTAATAAACAGGTTTGGAACAATGCCATAAGTTTTCCTTTTTTTCATTTTTGTAAGTCCATAATTAGTAATAAACAGGATTGGAAGAATGGCAAAGTTTTCCTTTTTTTTCCTTTTTTGTAAGTCCATAATTCAAATAAATTCAGTAAAAGCTTCAGATAAATCTTTTTTTTTTGGAGGCGTGATCATTTAATCAGAATACATGTTAGTCATGGTGTCAAAGTGATACATACTTATCATTATTATATGTGGATCATTTAGACAAGGTGTTTATTGGAGTATAAACAGTAGTATCTTTATCCATCTAATTTCCTATATTTAATCGTTTGATTTTTTTTTATATTTAAACTTATCTCTAACTCTTTTGGTATTTGTATATTATCGCAATAGACCAACGTTTGACTCCGGAGTATATAATGCTTTGACAGGTTACCTACTCTCTGGGGGGACATTCTGGTACTCTGTCAAGTGAGAGCAACTAAAAGAGGTAAAATCAAGACTGCAATCGGAGCAAATTGGGTAAAAAATAAATGTTTCCGACGATTTTGTCGTGTATAGAAAACATACAATAGCTAATTTTCCCCCCAAAATTACATCTATTGTAAGCTTGATTTTTCTTCTTATATTTGCTTTACTTAAACTAGTACCGGAATGTCCTACCATAGAGTAGGTAACCTGTCGAAAAATTATATACTCCGGAGTCAAAAGTCGGTAATATGAAAATAGTCTAATTTGACAAATATGCTTCTTTTTTATGTAATTTTACAATGAGATTATCGGATTTTTTTAGCATCCATAACCCGTTTTATTTTCTACTTGTTGATATTACCCCACATATATGATAATAGTATAAGCTTCAACAATATACAGGGTTTATCTCCTGCGGACTGAAAATATATTGACCATTCGTTTCAAAATTCGTTACAGAAAGATTCACATGTTTAAAATACACATCCGAACACATTAACTGACTATTAATGCTAGAATGCACAAACACTGGTTTGTTTGTTTTATTTAACAACTATATTTATTCATTTTTTTATTCAAATGATTATGCTTATGATTCAGCTCAGAAGTGTACAGCCAATATTGAGCCTTTATGAACTTTGTTCCGAGGTTTTATAAATGGGTGTAATAAGGTCAACGAATACATTGATGGCACAATCATTAATGTCTATTGAATAAGTGTTATAAATTCTGTATAAATATGTCGCATTTTTTGAAGATTTGCCTAACAAAGTAGGTAATTATGTTTCATTTTCATATGCATGTTTGTTTTTAATCAAATTATGAAAATGTTATTAATGTTAATCGATGTCTTTCGTTTTTACTATTGTATCATAACGACTATCTAGAGAAAAGAAATACTTTTAAATCTTTTCATGACTTTGTTTCCTCTATTGATTCATATATTACTGGTCTCTTATTCAAACGCAATTCGAACTACAACTGTTAATATGTTTAAGTATAATTCTCAGTAAATACTCAAAGTGCTCCAAACAATTAACCGTCAAAGAATTAAAAGTTGTCTACAACTTCATGCTCGAATATGATAACCGCCTTCTTACATAAAACTTATCCAAAAGAGCTATGAGGAAGAACAACTGAAATAAACAATACATAAGTGTTATGGTCAAGATCACAAATGTGTCTCTGTCTCAACTCACTAGTGACATGTTTTTGTGATTTCAGATCTTTAGAAACAGTAATGTCTAATCTGTAATTTTGCCGATTGTGTCCTATTTCTAATTGTGACATTTTGACTGACTGTGGATTCCCATGACCGGTAGGGCATGCATAGTAGGAGACGCTTATCTTGTCAACCAACCCGGTCTCGCTCTTTTTGGAGTTCATGCGAATCCAATCGTTTTTGTTTGTTACCCGGTTTCGTCTCTATTTAATCTATTTACGAGATTTGAACATCGGTAAACTACCGTTGCCTTAAGTGATACAAACCTTAAATTTATAAAGTAGACGATACTTTTTTCTGGTCAATTTTGCCAACATTTATTCAATATATTTGTCGTTTTATCGGTCGTCCCACTGTCTGTATCAATCTGCTCAGCTCTTCATAGAATTGCATATCACGGCTTTATGACGTTAAATACGTTGACCCGGCCTGAATACCTATCATATCACCGACGTCATAATGAATGAACCGACGTTGATAAGTTTGACCCGAACCTATCAAGTCATCTTCCGGTTTGCTGAAGAAACAAAGAAAACACTTGTTTCTATCATGCAAAACACGCAAATACAACCCGATAAATCGATTTTCTGGTTGTCTGCATATTTATATGTAAAATATCATCTGCTCGACACAATATGAAGCCTTTTTGAACTCGTTCGCTGGGCTCACTTGACAAAAAGCTTCATATTGTAACTCACAACTGATATTTTGCCATATCAATATGCAGACAACCTAATGATTGGCACATATCAGCGATGATCTTGTCTATCTTTTGTCATACCGAAACTGCTGCTTATTTTTATTTCTGGCTATATCAAAAGGTAATGTTTTACAAGTAGATAATTAACATCTACAGATAATTTATGAATTTGGGAGTTGGGATGTCTTTGGGTAAGAACAGAGACATCTTTCCATCTGTACAGGAGGAACCTTTTCAGTGACTATTATTTACTATACGAGGCGGTATCATTGACTTTTCTTGACAACACGAGGCTGTATCATTCATTGACAATTATTTTGAAAGTTATTTGAAATGTTCAACTAAAAAAACCAGTTGACATGGTTCTCATTAATTATTGTTCAAAATACAGATAACCATTACCTACAACAATATTTCATAGCGCGTCTTAATTGAGAGGCGGTAAAATGTACAAGTGAAATGGCTGAGGCCACCCTTTACTATATTCCTAATTGATTTATATAGTCTCTTAACTCAATTGTATTGGTATTCAAATCTATTTATCTTTTTTAATAATAAATTTTATCAATTTTAATTATGGAATTTCATTGTTCACTAATATAAAGAATGTTTATCCTATTTCCACTGCTTTAAAGTAAAAATTTAATCAAATGAGAAAGTTGAAAAATTTATAGAAGCACTAAGGTTTTTTGACTGGTTTCATTTTGACCTTATGAATATGACTACTTACCTTAGTGTATCATTTACATTGTAGATTAAATCACAATTCGCAAATAAAGTACAGTTGCACGTACGATCTTGAACATAAAATATGTATATGTTTTTATTTTTTAACTGCATTCGATGTAAGTTTTATAAAAAAAAACAAATAACGGCGTTGAGTTGGAAGAAGATTGGTTTATGCATTTGGCGCTCTATGACACACGTTAACTAAAAACCATCTAAGATTAACTTCATGAGATGAACAAATTGCTTAGCATTTTCGACAATGTACCAAAACAGACATATCTAAATCCGGAATATTGAGTACGTACTCATTTTGAATGGAGCTGATCTACTGAATCAAAATAAAAAAATAACGAGCAGAACCCCATTCTCAATTCTGATTTGACCTAGTAGTGAGTACACAATTATGTAAACCCACAAAGACTCATTTTGAGTTGTATTAACAAAAATAACATAAACAGAGAGATTAATCCCATTTAAATGTAGATGATCACAAGATAAATTAAACCTTCATGTCAATCAAACTTGAATACATTATACAAAAGTAGGCAAACAAATTATGGGACAACAATTATAAACAAATAATACAAGTGCCAAAAGAAAAATATACGAACAGACATTCAACCGTCTACAAAAAATGAATGCAGACAATTAAAGATCGGGTAATTTGATCTTCACGAAAGTCATATGCTCCGGTATAAAAAAAATCACGTCGAATGTAAAATTAACAGATCTGAAGACAGAAAAAATAAAGAGAAAAATTTAACATATTAACCCTAAAGCAAACGTCTATTTAAAGTGGATAGCTTCCAATTTAATATAAAATGAAAGTTTAATATGGATTTTGATATAAATGAACATGATTCTTTATCTAATGTCAATGGTATTGCAATAATAATGCAATTTATAATTGTTTACACAATATAAAAAAGGCATCATGTTTTCATCATAACTTTGCCTCTTTTTCGATTGCATAAAACATTTGTTATTGGTTTTTTTTTTGGGTTTTTTTCATCTTTTTATTGTTTTTCTATTTTCTATTTGTTGTTATTGTTTGTCACTGTTGTCATTGTCGTTCTTGAGCAATGTATTTTTTTTATCTAGTACGGTACTCCACCGTTTTGTCCTATTCAAGTCTAAAGACGAAGATATTACAACATGTCTTATTGTTTATGAATTTATTGTAATAAGCATCGCGATTCCAAAGAGAGTTGCATATTGTGTTATATATTAAATGTTTAACATTTGTTACTGCGATTGTTGTTTGTTACTTTTGTTCTCAATGTCGTAAAAGTTACTTTTAACTGTGGATAAAACACAGGTTTTTTTTAATTTTCGAGGTCTTCTCCAATTGTTATTGTTGTTCTTTAATTCCAGTTTATCGAGGACAGTTACAACTTACACTTCTTATATTAGGAATTTAGCAATTTGTTGTCATTGGAAAGTTACTTTCTTCCGTTAGACATTTATTTAAGTTTAATATATTCTTGTGTACTTAATTTTACCGAAGAAGTTATTTGTATTATTAATTAAATGACTAAGTACGAATTCTTTTATAAAATCTTTTGTTAGAGGAATTTAAACCGATATTCAAAATTAAGACAGGCTTTTTTTTTATTCTTTCTATCAATTTTAAATAATTCCTGTATTGAACATTTTGCAAAGCATTCCTTTATCTGCTTCCGTCACATGTTGTATTGAAATTATTTTCTTTTGTCGATTCTAGATTATCATTTCAAGATTCCAAATCATTTGAAGACCTCTCTAATGGTACCAATCCTATGAAAAAGCATGAAGTAGAAGCCAAACAGTAAAGAAATTGAAGTTACAAAGAACGCATCAAAGTTACAGAAAATATTCATCAAAAAACTTAAAAGTAACTTCAGAGGAGTTTATACGAATAACCTTGCAGGAAAAAGAAGTAAATAGTAGCAACACTGCCGTTAAACAAATACCTAATTTACATTGTGAATCCCATGAAATAGATTCCGCTACACGTGATATTGACGTAAAATCACTTAATAAGATTACAAGTTCATCACAAATGACAAAAGCAAAAGGTTCTTCGAATTCAACCTCATTTTCACATTACTCATAATTTTACTACGTTTTATTAGTAAATGGAATATGTATGTCATGCAATTATAATTGAACTTAATTTTATTGAATTAAATTCATTACGATTTTTAAGTTACTTATTTTTTTAAATATAGTGAGTCCAACATATATTAAATGTAAAACAAATCCTGAAGGAAGGGCAATGGATTAAAAAATATAAAACCGTACTGCTCTTTAGAATTCCTTTGTTGTTGAACATACATATAGATGAACAGATGCGCTATCATTATGACTCCAAAATATGTATCAATATGAAAATAAGGAGCCGGGTATGATCGCAATTGAGACAACTGTCCACTAGAGACTAAATGACGAAAATACTAAACAATTAAAGTTCACCTTACGTCCTTCAGTAATGATCAAGACCTTAAGTTACCATAAAGTTAACTGTAAAAGAATCTGTCATGACAAAATGTAAAGAGAGGTCAGAGAAACCAAATGTGATTTTCAAGCGCAAAAGTTGAAGACAAACAGACAACCTCCTAGCTAAAAAACGAAAAAAAAAGACGAAAAGACAAACAACAGTCAAAAAACACAACATAGAAACAGCAGAATGAGCAACACAAACCAAACCAAAAAACCAGGATGATCTCAGGTGCTTCGGAAGGTTATGAGTCTTCTTCGAGGAAAACAGGACAAGATTGTCGTTTCGACTATTTTAACCTATCCGTCGCCATTTGTGAAACGCATATTCCCCCACGTTCAACCAACTTGGAACCTTTAGAGTAATATCTTCCTTCTTGGCAGCAATGCTCCATCAAATCATGATAGAAAACAAAAGCTCCTGAATATCGTATAAACTGGGATATATATTCTCCATTCGAAGGCGCAGTTTGAATGTTGCTAATAAGAAATGGAACTTCATAATTGCGATGGAGAAATAATCACCTTTGTCGTAATGTTATGTTCTCAACCGATCCTTCTTTTAAATTTCTAGATGTAAGTGAAGATATGAAGCAGACTAAACTGTATATGTGTTATTCTTTATGTTAACTTCTATGGGGAAGATTATTTAGTTAGTGGACATCATCAATATGGCGGTACTTTTAGTTAAAGGATAATGCTAGCTACTTTTCATTCTTTCTATGAAGTCTTACTCGTATGAATGAACAAAACAAATCGACAAGAATAGAAGTACTGTTAATATCCACAGGAATGACTTTTGTTTGTTGATAACACGTCCTCCAAACGTAGCACATATGTTATAAATCAAGAAATTAAGTATCTTTACCATGTCAGTTTCAGAGAATTTCTTGTTTGAATCAGATTGTTATTATACAACGTATTATTTAACTCTTTCTAATACAAGATATGTGTATCTATGTTAGCCAATTTGTTTATTAAATTCAACCAAATCTTTCAATCTGTCTTTAAGTTTGGAATGGGGAATACTTGTGTAAAAGGTAAAATAGTCAAATGTATTAATGCTATTGCAAGATGAAGGAGATGTAAATTGTATGTGCTCTAATAGATCTTTGGAATTTTTTAGTATCTACATCTAATTCACACCGCCCCTAGAGTAGATAGTTTCACAATAACTGAATAACACTGAAACCCGGCGTTGGTTGCTGAAAAATTTGTAAAGAGGTTTGGTGGAGCACATGGCAGATAAAATAATATAACGTTGTATGTAAGAACACTTATGTAACTTATGTTTTCAATAAAGTGAGGAAAGATTATGTTCTGTATTTAAAGGAACATAGAACAGACCTTTGATAATGCAGTCAGTTTGGTAAGTGTCGTGGGGATATGTTGAGTTTCGAAGTGAATTGTCAATATCTTATTATTTTATCGAGCAGTTTTTGTAATATGATTTACACACAAAAATCTGTAATGATAGTAGAACGGGTGCTAAGCAACTTTAGGGTTTTTGAAGATCGTTATAGCATTAGTGTTCAAAGACCCATATAGTTTTCTAAATCTTTTTTGTATCAACGACCTCACAGCCTTAGCTCATTCGGAAATATTATCTGCGTCTTCTTCTTCTGGTTCAAAAGAATTGAAATGAGAAACCCACGGCCTAATTTATGATAAAACAACAAAGGAAATCAAATAGGCCAAACAGCAACCAACGACAACCCTGAATTAGAAAAGTTGTCTAACAGCACATTATAAAAACAAACTGTAAAAATCAGTTAAAAAACGCTTGATTCCTTTTATCAATTCTAAACACAAAAACAAATAATTAGAATGCAAAAGTACCGATCTAGGTGTACTCGTCGTTACTGAAAGTAATTCCAATGCCCAATTACAACTACTAAATAAATCATGTTCTCCTGTACTAATTGACAATCAGTTCACCTCTGAATAATTGAATTGTTTCTTCAAAGAATGAACTAATTATTTTGATAATCGTATTAGACATTTCAGATTGAACTTAAACAAAACATTTGCAACGGCAAAATCACAAATTTAGTAGTCTCGTTTTGTTGTTCTATACGGACAAATTAGGAATTAAGATAAAAATTTTTTTAATATATTCATAGTACTAGTTCTGAAGAAAAGATCGAATACCTTTCAAAAACGACTTCACTTAAATCTGCTACTCACACTATGCATTGGCTTTATAAAGTACAAAGCAGACCTTATCAATATAGTTTTATATTGACGCTTAATTACCCCCATTTTCTATATAAGGAAATGCCTGTACCAAGTCAGGAATATGACAGTTGTTTTCCACTCGTTTGATGTGTTTAAGCTTTTGATTTTGCCGTTTGATAAGGGACTTTCCAATTTGAATTTTCCTTGGAGTAAGGTTTTTTTATTATTTTACTTTTTACTTTTTTTCAAATCTTCTGACTAGAGTTATTTAGTTGTGGACACCTGAAGTGGTTATAACTATTTCTACACATAGTGTCACAAACTATTCGGCAGTCTTAGATGCGCAATTTTCCGTTCGGACCTCTCAGTCTCCATTGACAATTTTGAATCATCTACTCTATATACTACACGTACACATAATCTAATCAAACAGAAATGTTCTGACTTATTAAAATAGTTTTTGCAGAAAAAAAATGGTGTTGTTGTTATCCTTTTACAGAGATTAAATGTTTAGAAAATAGATTATATATACATGGACATACATTATACGACCTATTATGCTTTGTACCATAAAGAGATCGTGATTAAACGAGACTTTCCTGTTCACTATTTATTCGTTTACTGTTATAAATAACACGTACTTCATAATTTTTCTAGATGATGGTTTACATTCAGCTTGTTCTTAAACACAATCAAATTTCTCGGTATAAGTTTGGGATCGACATCTGTAATTACACAAGTCAATGCATTTTGCTTGCTTAACGTTGGACGGACAAAATTACCGGCCAGTATCGTAAATGACATGTCTAGTTAATACTCGTTTCATATATTTTGGCTAAGACGATAAATAGTTGACTCGGGATCACACGTTTTATTATCTAGATCTGTTTTGAGTCGAACAAAACTGACTTTAATGCTTAAAGTGCAAATTGGGATCCGGACTCGAGCGGACTTGCATTTGTACGCCGTTTTACCTTTTACAACACGCAGGGAATCCGACGAATTAGGTTTCGATTTTGCGTGGCCTAAACGGAAAATTACAAACAAAAATAATTATCAATGATATTGTATGAGTACAGATGCACTGTAGGGGACTGATGGTTGCCCTTCTGACAAATACCGGTAAATAATAGATAATAATACGTGTATTGTTGAGTTTAATTTGCCTTCGTTAATGTACATACAAATAGATAATTCTGTAGATGAAAGTAATTGGTTTTTTTACACTATAATTTCGAAATGTATATAATTAACTCCATCATGAGCAGCTTGCATGGATTTTTCATTGCGTTCTAGTATTTCACAGTAAGACTATTAAAACTAAATACACTATTTGAGACATGGTCTTCTACTAATTCTGTTTGTTCGTCATTACATTTATCAAAGATGGCGACAATTCATCTCTTCAGATTTAAACATATCACCTTCGAATAGGATTTTCCATATCAATTTTATACCATTCTATACATTTTATGGATAAAAAGGTTTATGGGTATACCTCAGCTAGACAGCAACCAAAGTAAAATTTGTAAAAAAGTGTAGTATTGTTCCGTTGAGAATATGATATTTACTAAAAGAAGATTGTTTATTTGGTCCATAGAAATATTTTATACACACAGAAACTTTAGCTGGAAAAATGCCTAAAAGAACAAATTAATAATCTCCCTTATTGGTAATTTTCCAACCGTCCTTTTTTTTTACTGTCAATAAAGCAACATATATTTTTAAACTACATTGATATAGATATACAGTATTTTACGTTTTTATACATCGCAGGTTTTGAAATGTTTTGTAGTGATGACGCGCTGTCAAGTAAGCTCTTGAAAACCGATAAATTTATCCACATAGCATCATTACGATGCTTATATGCCAGTTGTATTTTAAAAGACAAATGTATCTACTAGCTATTGGGCATCATTTAATGTACTTTTATGCATTTGGTCAATTTTAAACTATTGTCTGATCGGTTGTCAGGGGAAATTTTCGAAAGTTCAAAAATATTTTTAATAAATCTAATTAAATATTTCGTGGAAGGGCAGACTAAAAATTTGAAGGTCGAAGACTAATTACCCTGAATAACAAACACACACAATTAAGTTTTTTTTTAAGTTATGCATTTTTAAGATCCACTTGAAAAGTCTGTCGTCAAGTACTTTTAGTAAAAATTTGTTATTCAAACACACCTACTCTCTTTTTATGACTCATTAGAAAGGTATTTTACTTGATCCATATATTTCAATTTTTAGTACTGTAAATTTTTAATGTTATTATATCAACCTAAAGGCTAAATATATAAAAAAAATAATAAAATCTGAAGCAAGATAATGTATCAAATATTTTTCTTTTATACGTTTTCAAGACAGAATAGTCAACTCAAACACGCCTGAACGTAAAAAGGTGTACTCGACTTACTCTTTTCGATGAAACTATTGCCCATTTTTGTGATTTTTTCGAAAACAACTATCGCCGGGGCAGAGATGCAAATATATGCTTTAAAAAGATCAATCTATTATCTTTCTTTGGATTTTTTT